CTAGACACTGGTTTCAATGTGGCAGATATGGGCAGACATTGGCAATGACTATATCTCTCCTTGCCTGAAGGAGCATGGCGGTGTGAGTGCAGGAATCGTGGCAAGCTTTTGGAGTCGACTGCTTTTCTGGGCATATGTTTGACGTGCAGGTTTGCTCTGTCCCTGGGAACAAAGCTAGCCAGCCTGGGCCTAGGGTTTGAACCAGGAGGTGGCCTTAAGCCCAAAGTTTCAAATTGTTTTGATGTCAAACATTCTTCTAGGTGGTATAGCACTGGTATGTGCGTTGCTATACAGAGGTAACTCGTGGTTGCTGTGATGCTGAAGACTGTGACAGTGATGTGCCAATCGTGGTAATGGGTACCCATGGTGTACAGTGTTGGCTGGAGCTTCCCGACTAAATCAATCCTGGAAGCAGAAGTGGCATCCACTTCCGAAATGGCTTGCCTCCGGAAACTCTATGTACAAACAGTGCTCAGGCCATTCGTTCATAGGGTCGCTGTGAGTCGTCTACGACTCGACAGCACCAAACAACAACAACAACATACAGAAAAGCCTTTTATAAACAGCTCTAGTGTTTATCAAACACTAGGTACATGGAAACTCTGGGGGTATTGTCTATAGAGAGTATTACTGCTAACCCAAAGTCCATGCCTCTCTGATGATTCATATACACCAGTGGCTTCTCTAGAGAGAGATGACGATTCGCCAACTATGTGATTTATAGCCTCAGAAACCCAGTGGAGGGGTAGTTATTAATCCATGTCAACTCAATGACATTTAGTTGCATTTGAGTTAGGGAGGCATCACAGAACTCGGGTGGTACACTCCTTACTGAGTTGTGCAGCCACTCAGAAGCCTTTAGGCTTGGACTGTTCAAATCCACCAGTCTGTCCACAGGAGAAAGATGGCTTAGTCTCACCCCAATATGGTTTACAGCCTCTGAAATGCTGGAGAAAGCTACTCTAAGTCAGAATTAGCTCAGCAGCAGTGAGTTTGAGCTTTTGAATAAGGAGTTATAATTTTTATAGCAGAAAACTCCACCATTGTCAATGTGCACGTCAACAATTTCTAGTACGTTTTCAAAGTTCTGCAGTCATCACCACGACTGGCTTCTAGGATGATTTCCATCCATGCAAAGAGATGCCCTCATTCCCATTTGCTGTCCCTCTTTATCCCCATTTAATATCCTGTTTTGGTAACTGTGTCAAAGCACTTTGATAAACTTCAGATTCAACACAAATGCCACTGTTAGAAACATGTCTTACCTGTGAAAAAAACACTAGACATCCACCCATAGTAATGAAGGGAACTAGGACCATGAGGGTAATTAGGAGCTCCAAGGAGTGGTACAATTCTAGAATGATGCCGTAAAATACGGTCATTGTGATCTACAAGACAAATTCAGACAGATTTCATATCAGATACAATCAGCCCAATGGTATTTGAGAAATAAACCTATGTGGACTCAATCTGCATTGAGACATTGTCTCGTGTGAAAGTGCATTACCTCAATGGCCATCATGATTTCTCCTCTTAAGGGAAGGAGGTGGGAGAGAGCTTTGTTAATGAAACTCTATCCATGCTCCTTGTCTCCTTAACAGAAAATTTTAGGTAGATAAAAATAAGCCCATGGATTAAAGTTCAAACTACAATAATTGACCAGACATCCTGCTGATAAATAATTTCATGAAATCCAAGATTATATGCTGAAGAGAGAAAATTATTTTCATGGCTGAGGCAACAATATTGCTAATGTATAAAAGTGTATATTCATTTTGGTCTTTCTCTTCTTGTCCTTTTTTTTGTTTGTTTCTTATCTGTTTCATGGCATTTTGCTTTAGACATAACTGACATATGTGATGTCATACTACATCTACCTGGTCTTGGGTCATTGGTGTTCATTTATTTCACCAAGTTTATTCTTGAGATGGTCTCTAAATTCAGGTTGGATATAATCAATGTTATATTTTAACTTGAGTGGACTTGTTTTAATTTTTTTCAGTTTTAACTTGAATTTGTATGTGAGCAACTGATGGTCTATTTCGTTCCGGCCCTTGATTGTTAACTGATGTCTTTGAACTGTCCACAGCATCTTTCCACAGATGCCATTTGATGAGGGTCGCATGTATGGTTGCCATTTATATTGGTACCAAAAAAAACCCCAAAAAACACAATTAATAAATTATTAAATTTTAATCATTCAGTCTTTAACTTTGTTTCTATTAAAGCCATATTTTCAACTAAAAAAGTATATATTCAAGAAAAAGCTCTACTAGGAGTTACAGAAAAACTTCATTGTCTCTTGACTACACTGTCAAGCTACTATAAAACTTCCTCATCATTGTCCCTACTCATTTGTTCCTCATTCCAAAGAAGTGGGTTTTATTTTCTCTAAGGTAGTAAATTATAACTAACAAAAGATTGATATTCTATCACAATTCTTGGAAATGGAGAAGTAAAGATTTTACATCTTTTTTGTTTATTGAAAGAATAAATTAACCCTCAACAACTATGTCTTAAGCACTGTACTGAACCTTTGCCAGAGCATTTATCTATTATTTTGAATAAAAGTAGAAAGAGTGAAAACTTGTTGAACATTCTAAAATTGGACAATAAGAAATTACTATACTGTATTTTCATTCTCAAGTCAACTCTATGGTGCTGTTATTACTTATCCTCCTTTTATATATGGGAAATGTAGGTCTCAAAGGAGGTAAACCGGGGCATACAAGCACATGGAACTGGAATTCAAAACTCCTTATAAATCTTTACGTCCAAAAAGTCTCTTTTTCTTAAGGTACTATTTTAAGAGGTTATATGGCATCAAGTTTAAAGAAAATAACTGGAAATAGAGACAAATAAATGAAATAGTAAAAATATGATAAGCATTTTAGAGGGCACATCTAAAGGACTTTCCTCACTTTACAAATGTCACAATCTCTGCAAATGCATTGTTCTCTGCTTCTACGTATTTCTCTTCTCATGGTTTCTAAGATGTTACACTCATCTACTTTCCCTCTGACATTTTCATTTCTGGAAACTTTAAGATTTTAAGTCTGCTTAGTTGACTCTTTTGCTTTCAGGATGCTTAACTTCTACTTCTATATAAAAGTGCTTCTTTCGTTCCTTTATTTCTCTCCTTTCCATCCTTTTTCTCATTCACTGGATCAAATAAGGATTCCAAGTTACATCAAAGGAAACAGTCTGCAACTTATGGTGCTAAGGATATGCTGTTACACATTCATTACTGAGCACAGCAGACAGGAAATGGGCTTCTCTGTCATCAAGAGGCTAGACCATCTAAAAAGTACCATATCCTCGGGCTTGTGGGAGCCTGTTAGACTCCGGACACAAATTAACTGTTGACTAGGCTTCACTTCTGGTTGGAGGGAAACTGTCTACCCATCTAAATGTAGTTCAGATCACATAGGTTGCATAGTGGAGTGTACTAGGAGTGGGGGGAGAGGGGGGCGAGGTATTCAATGTCAATGAAATAATTTTTCTTATACTTTTCAAAGAGAAGAGTAAACTGGGGGGAGGGGTGGACAGGGAGAAAAATGCAACAATGAATGTATGGAAATCCAAAAATCTCTGTAAACGTTCATTTAAAAAAAGAAAAAAAATTTTAAAAACCCAAAGGACCAATAAGGTGACCATCAACATACAGAGTACATTCTGACTTCTTCTCAGATCTTATCTGATTTCAGATCTATGACAGACAGTTTAAGTGTAAATGAGCTATAAGATGAAAAGAGAAATTATCATGACATATGTCCTTACTGTACAATCTGGGTTAAATAATTAGTTACCTGTACCTGGCATAATACAAAGTTTATTACACACTATTTGAGTCTTTCTCAATATTTTAGTCTCCAAAATTGAGATAACTCGGTCAGTTAGAGTTTTAAATCAATGTAACCAACTATTCTAATATCACTTACTTTTGAGCATATTAGAATGACACAGAAGTTTACATTTTGACTTTATCCCTGAGTCTGTATTAACTAGGATGTGACACTGAATGGATCATTTCACTTTTTTCCTATATAAATACTGCACAATTTTGAATTTTTTTCAAGTCTGACATTCAAGTGTCCCATAAACAGGTGCCTTCAATTCAGTTATACACAAATCAAGAAATATGCACAAAGAGATGAATACAGGAAAGAAAAAGGGAAGAGAATGAGAAATTATAAACACATTATACTACAACACTATGAGTTTATATGTGTTGTTAACAGCCAAGTACTTGGCTACTAACTGAAGACTTGGTGGTTTGAATTCACCTAGATGTAGCAGAAGAAAAGTGTACTTCTGAAAACGCACAGCCATTGAGTACTCTAACATGTATATTCTGAAATACCCAGAAATCCTAACCATGAGAATCAACTTTATCCTAACTGCATTCCCGTCCTCATTTTTTAAAATGATTGAATTTTATAGGCTAAAGTGACCATATAGTGCTATGCTGAATGTTATAAGAATAATACTGTATCTATATTTATATGGATGGGTTGATACTTACCAAAAAAAAGAAAAAGGACCAAAAGCTATTTTTTCTCTTCTTGTGAAAAATAAATGTAATCACATATGTAAAGATGACGAGAGAAGCAGCAGAACCAAGTGAAGTGGCAGCCTGAAAGTAGGGTACATAAGGTAAGTGGACAGAGAAAATATTAATGGAAAGAAAACAAAGTTACATACATTTGAAAAAAATGTTTCGTTACACTTACAGAGTATATATTTTAATAACTATGACAAAATAATACTAAGACACCTTATTACTACAAAAGATACATTTTATAAATGTATATCATTGTTACTATAAAAGGTACATTTTATAGGTATTATATATTATAAATGTATATCATTGTTACTATAACGATACATTTTATAGGTGTTACATATTATAAATGTATATTATGGTTGCATACTAACTTTATTTCTATGCTTATGCTATTACATATTTTCCATTTATAATGATATTTCATCTAATCATATAAAATAACATGACAAATCAAAAGAGAAAATAGTAATTGAGGGGAAAATGGAATATATTTAAAAATATTTTATTGCACTTAACTTTGCATGCTTTTTTTGTCATTGTGATAAAACAAAACTAAGATGTCTAGAGAATATAAAATATCAATGTTACAGTTCCGATTATCTTATAAGATACGGTCTATGTTATATGCTACTTACCAGAGCAAATGTAGTTCGAATTGGAATAAAAAGGTATGCTTTTTTTTTTAGGAATAAATATAAGTACATCAAAAAGAGAATAACAATGTAGAGATTAATATCCACCAGTGCCTGACCAAGCCAGTAAGCAGAAGGGTAAAGACCTGACATCCACAGCAGACCTTGAGCCTTATTCTGATGAAAATGAACCAAGAAGAAACACAGATTATAAGTAGATTAAATTAAAATTCCAAATCATAATCAGCGCATTGTAAGATTTATGTAAGGAAATATAATTTAATATTTTAAAAGTATACTAGATATTTTTGGAAGGAGGAGTGGCATCCACTTCCATAATAGCTTGCCTCCGGAAACCCTGTGAACCTGGAGAGAGGATGAAAGGCACCCATCAAGGACTCTCTCCTTCATAGGGTCGCTATGAGTTGCCTGCGACTCGATGGCACTTTACAACAACAACAGCAACTAGATATTTTAATATTCATTGTTGTTGTGGTGTACCATCGGATCAGAACCGACCCATAGCTGACCCTCCAGTGGGTTTTTAGAGGCAGTTAATCGCATGGGGAGAAACTGCACATCCTTCTCCCACAGAGCGGCTGGTAGATTCAAACTGCGTGCCTTTGGGATTGAGGTGCAGCTTCTTGCCACTTTGATTTAATGATCACTTACTATCATTTAATATTTTAATTATCATTTAGTAATTGTGGTAGAAAGTCTATGCCAAAATGGTGTCTACTTAAAAAAAAAACCAAGTGTTTTGGTGTGTTTTTTTTGTTGTTGTTGTGTTTGGTTTTTTTTTTTTTTGCTATGCAGGAGTGGCATCCACTTCCTAAATAACATGCATCCGGAAACTCTATGAACTTTGGTGAATGTCAATAGTTGTAGAAGGGCTTCAAGCCTTTTGTTCATAGGGTCGCTGTGAGTCATGTTCGACTCAAAGGCAATTAACAACAACAACAGGTTTGATTCAAGTCTCAAATAATTGAATATCAACAATCATCTATCTGAATCAGGAAAGGATGTTGTCACAGGCTTTATCTCGATTCCATTTGGAGGTTTTTATGCATTAGGGTCTCCGTAGAGACAATGCCCTTCTTCTGTGATTTTGAAGCTAAGGTCATTTTTTTTTTTGCTTACAGAAGGAATTTTTATTTTGTGTGTGTGTGACTTATTAGGAACTGTGCTTAAACAAGTTCTTGAAATTAAACTTGTGTTTACATATTTCTTTTATAAGGAAATGCTAGAAAGACTGCAAATAATGATGACAAAGTTCCAGAATTTTCTTTCCTTTGTTCTACTTTTCTTACTTTGTAGTCACTGACGCTGCTCCTGGCAATATGTGGAGAAATGGTGCAGACAATAAAAAACAAGAAAATCGAGCCATCGGGAAGTTCTGTCCACAGGTTCATAAACCTCTGAAAACATGAGAAGAATTTTAAAATGGTGAACATTTGTCAAAATCAAATAAACACTAACAATTACAAATCAGGCACTTCGTGAAATCACAGCCTACATTTAGTTCATCAGCTTCCACATGTGCAAGCTTCTTAGAGAGACAGTTTCTGACCCTTTTACATGAAGCATCAACTCCTGGAACTGAAACAAGAACCATCCAAAATCTAGTGGCATGGAGTTGATTCCAACTTATACTGGCCTTCCCTTGGGTTTTGCAGCCTGTAAAATCTATCCTGGAAGAGATTGTCCAACTTTCTCCTGTGGAGTGACTGGTGGATTAAAACAGCTGTTCTTTTAGCTAGTTGTTGTTGTTGTTGTTGTTGCTATGTGCCGTCGAGTCACCTGTGACTCATAGCAACCCTCTGTACAACAGCCCTCAACTCTGCTCTGTCCTATGCCAATCGCACTGTCTCTGACACTCCCATCCCGATTATCCCAGTCACTGAATCAATCCACCTCATAGAGGGTCTTCCTCTCCTGCATTGTCCCTCAACTCTCCCAAGCATGACGTCCGTCTCCAAGGACTGGTCCCTCCTTACAACATGTCCTAAGTATGTCAGACGAAGCCCCAGAATCCTTGCCTCCAGGGAGCAGGCTGATTTCACCCTCTCCAGGATGAACCTGTTTGTTCTCTTCTCCAGCACCATAGCTCAAAGGCATCAATTCTCCTTCTATTCTCCCTAGTCATTGTCCAGGTCTCTGACGCATAACAAGTGATTGCAAAAACCATGGCCTGTATCAGGTGCTCTTTTAGTCTGGTATATAACACTACATCACAAAAGTTCCGTAGTCAAAGTCATATTATACATTGTTGGTGGCCTAGTGGCAAGAAGCTGCACAGCAATCCCAAAGGCACATGGTTCAAGGCCACCAGCTGCTCCACAGGAGAAGGACGGACAATCTCTTCTCATGTAATTAACTGCCTCTGAAAATCTGCCAGAGAGTCGGCTCTGGGTTGGTTCTGACTCTACAGAACACAACAACAACAACAACAATAAAAACAGCAACCTTAGATTAACATACTCCAGGTGAAGCAGTCAATTCTTTCTCAGCAAACCTGGTGTTGGCTGTATGAGGACGTGGCCACTGTTGTTTTTTTCAGAGGCCATCAACAAGCTGACTACAACTCACAACAGCCCTATGAATGACAGAGGTGAATCTTGCCTCCTCCTATACCATTCTTCTTCTCCTTCTCTGACCCTCCCTCCACCCTTCCCACCACTCTGTCTTTTTCCAAGTCCCCGCCCCTTCTGACAACATGCCTAAAGCCTGTGAAATGATGTTTCACCTTCCTTCCCTCTTTTGATCCTGTCTGTACTTCCTCTAAGACAAACGTATGTCTTCTTCTGGCAGTCGTTGAGATACTATGTATTCTTCCCCAACATCATGATCCTTCTGTCATCCCTCTTCATTGTCCAACCTTCAGTGCACAGGAAGCACTTGACAGTACTACGGCTTGGAATAGGCACTCCTTAGACTTTTAACTGACACCGTGGCCCTTTGCTACTCAGGAGGAGTTCTTTACAGCAGATTTCTCCAAGGCCACATGCCTTTTGATTTCTTGACTGCTGCTATGAGGGATGTTGATTGTGGATTCAAATAAAATGAAATCATTGATAACTTCAATCATCTCACCCAGTAGCAGCGGCAACGTTTAGCAGGGAAGCCTGCAGTAAATGTTGGAGAGGTGGGAACTCTCATATCCTGTTGGTGGGATGGTAAAAGGGTACAGCCACTCTGGAAGGCAGTTTGGCCTTTCCTCAGAAAGCTGAACATAGAAACTCTGTATGACACAGCTATTCCAATAGTAGGAATATACACCAAGGGAATTCAAGCCGAGACACAGAGATCTGTACACCAGTGTTCATAGAATTATTTTTCACCATCACAAGAACATGGAAACAGCCCAAATGTCCAGCCACAATCAAATGGATTGAGAAATTATAGTACACTCACACAACGGAATATTACGTAGCACTCGGAAGTAATGATTTTGAAAAAAAAAAAAATCGCATATCTTGGGAAAGTGTGGAGAGAATGAGGCTGAGTGGACTAGCTCAGTCTCATAAACACAAATACTGCATAAGACCATTATTGTGAAATATAGAAGGATAACTAGTAAACCGTGTATGGGACCCAAGCAGGGAAGGGGTGGGAGCAGAGGACTGAGGATGGAGTAGGGGAGAAACCACAGGGTTGCACAGTTTAGTGGGTGGGAGGAGAGAGTGAAGGAAATGGAAAGGATCTGGCAGGGACCGGAAAAGGCTGGGCAATGATGGGCAAGGACCAATGGTGATTGATTTTATAAAATCTAAACGCGTGGGAAAGATTGTATGAATCACAATGTGAATGAAGAATAGTGTGAAATACAATGTATATGAACTTTGTAAGCAAACTAACAAAATTTTAGAAAAGAGGAGGAGAAATTAAATCACAGACAACTTCAATGTTTTCTCCATCATAGTGTTGTCTATTGGCCCAGTGATGAGGTTTTTTGTTTTGTTGATGTTGAGATCTAACCCATATTGAAGGCTGTACTCTGAACTTTGCTAGTGGGACTTCTGGGGAACAGTAAGTTCTGAAGAACAGAAATCAACTATCAACCTCACTGTCCTCGGTTGGACACTGTCAGATCTTTCAGTCTGTAAATCTTTATGGGAGGAGACTGCCCACCTTCCTTCTTCAGAGCAACTGGTGGATTCCAACCACTGATCTTTGGGCTGGGAGCACAGTACACAATGCACTAAACCGCCAGAGCTCCTCAGAGACAGCAAAAGGAAAGGCAAATAGATTGTGGGTTTGACAAAGAAACACATAATGGCATCTTCATCCCTTTGTTGTTGTTATATGCCCTCAGGGGACTCTGCACAATAGCTCTGAACCCTGACCGGCGCTCTGCTGTTGTTAGGTGCCGTCAAGTCTAGACAACTCACAGAGACCCTGTGAACGAAAGGCCTGAGCACTGTTCATACATAGAGTTTCCAGGGGCAAGCCATTTGGGAAGTGGATGCTGAACCTGTTGGTAATTCTGTTTGGAAATAGGCCTTCTTTGTTTTGCTGATCAGGCCACACCAGCATGGGGTGTATCCCACTTTCAACCACTTCTGAGCTGTAAGCAAAGGAGCTTAGATAAGAGGTCTACACGGCTGGGAAGACAGATACCATATTAGGGTCACTGAACCAAAGAAGCTGGGGCTGCCATCAATGACAGGTACTCAGACAGGAAGAGAAGCTCACAACTCTGTTCCTGCTACCTGTTCTTCCTGCCTCCTTTCTTGCTTGCTACTGGTAAGTTCCCTTGAAGATTATCCAAAAACGATTAGAACAGCACATCAGCAGAGAACTGCCAGAAGTCCAGGCTGGGTTTAGAAGGGGTCGTGGTACTAGGGATATTGTAGCTAATGTTAGATGGATATTGGCTGGAAGCAGGGAATACCAGAGGAATGTCTATCTGTGCTTCATTGATTATGCAAAGTTTGACTGTGTGGATCAAAACAAACTGTGGCTGACTCTGAGAAGAATAGGAATCCCAGAACACTTGATTGTGCTAATGTGAAACTTATACTTGGACCAAGAGGCAGCCGTCAGGACAAAGCAGGGTAACACTGCATGGTTCAAAATTGGGAAGGGTGTATGCCAGGGATGGGTCCTGTCTCCATATCTTTTCAACCTTTATGCAGAACAGATCATCCAGGAGGCCGGGCTCTATGAGGAAAAATGTGGCATCAGGATAGGTGGAAGATCTATCAACAATCTGCATTGTGCAGATGACACAACACTGCCTCCTGAAACTGAGGAAGATCTGAAGTGCTTGCTGTATAGGGTCAAGGACTGAAGCTTTCAATATGGATTGAGGCTCAATATCAAAAAGAAAAAGATTGTCACCACTGGACCAATTGGCATCATCAGGATGGATGGTGAAGAGATTGAGATTGTTCACAGCTTTAGTTTGCTCGGCTCCACAGTCAACACTCTTGGCACCAGCAGCCAGGAAATTAAAAGATGTATTGTGATGGGAAAGTCTGCTGTTAGGGACCTCTCCAAAATACTGAAGAGCAATGATGTCTCTCTGGAGACTAAGGTGCGTCTGATACAGGCCATGGTCTTTTCTATCACTTGTTATGCACCAGAGAGTTGGACAGTGACTAAGGAGGATAGAAGGAGAATTGATGCCTTTGAGCTGTGGTGCTGGAGAAGAGTATTGAGGGTACCAAGGACTGCTAGGAAGACAAACAGATTTATCCTGGAAAGGGTTAAACCAAGCAGTTCCCGGGAGGCAAGGATTCTGAGACTTTGTCTAACATACTTTGGACATGTTGTAAGGAGGGACAGGTCCTTGGAGATGGACATCATGCTTGGGAGGGTGGAGACAGCACAGGAGGGGAAGGCCCTTTATGATGTGGATTGATTTGGTGACTGGGGTAATCGGGATGGGTGTGTCAGAGACAGTGCGATTGGCACAGGACAGAGCAGAGCTTAGGGCTGTTGTACATAGGGTTGCTATGAGTCTCAAGAGACTCGACGGCACATAACAACAACAACGACAACTGGTGAGTTCCCTTGAGTTCTGTCATTGCATTTGAACTAGAGACAAGGGTCAATATGATATGACTGGAACCCCAGTGCTGGGTTCTTCTGCTCTCCTGTTTCCTGCCAGAATGTTCTTTGCTTACACCCCCTAAGCCAACATAAAGGGCTTTTGTGGCAGAGAGTCACAGTCTGCAGGCCCAACAGCAACGCCAAGGAAGAAAGACAAGCATTCTTTCTCTGAGAAATTTAGAGTCTTCAACAGTCATTGATAGGCCATGAATTGGTTCTGACTTGATGGCAATGAATTTGATTTTTTTTTTAATTACATATTTTTAAAATATTATTAAAATAAATTCACTGGGATTTTACTCAAATAAAAACGAGGTAGAAAGGGAGACTTTACTCCCTTTTTCTTCTCTTCGTCTTTTTTTTTTTTTCCTATTATTTCTTACTGTTAATTCATTTTTTCATTCATTTGTTGTTGCACATTTTTCCCTTCACCTTCCCCCAATCCACTTTGCAATGCACCCCCTACTCTGGATTGTTGTCATACAGACAATGCCCAATCGTATATTCCTTTTAAGCAGTTCTTTCTCTCATCTGTTCCAGTGCAGTGCTCATTAATCTATCCATCTTCCTTCTAGTCTCCCCTCAACTCTGCATTTGATTCCTGCTATAACAGTAATCTTATGGAATGTATCTGTCCTTTTGCGACTGAGATATTTCCTCAGCATAATATCTTCCAGGTTCGCCGATGTTGCGTAGTGTTTTATGAGTTCATTGGCTTTTTCAGCGCTTCGTAGTATCCCATTGTGTGATTGTACCACAGTTTTCCTATCCATTCATTTGTTGATGGGTGCTTGGGTTGCTTCCATGTCTTTGCTATTGTAAATAATGCAGTAATAAACATGAGTGTGCATACAAATGTTTGGGAGGCAGCTCTCGTTTCTTTGGGGTATATTCCCAGTAGTGGAATTGCTGGGTCAAATAGTATTTCTAGTTCCAAGTTTTTGAGAAAGCACCAGACCACCTTCTATCGTGGCACTCCCACCAGGAATGAGTAAGAGTTTCAATCTCTTCATCGCCTCACCAGCATTTGTTTTGTGCTGGCAATGAATTTTAAGCTTCTCTCTCTCTAACACACACACACACACACACACACACACACACACACACTTTGAGGAACTCTGCAATCAGCTTCCTCTAGTCTCTTCCAACCTTATCTCTTTCAACTTTCCCTCACTCCTTTGGGACACCCTCCCCCTGCCCCCCATTCCTTCAGGTTAATTCTGACTCATAGGGGCACCAGAGAACCCAGTAAAACGCGGCCTTGAAACATGTTTCCAAAGCTGTAAATATTTGTGGAATCAGACAGCAGCATCACCATTGTTCAGTGAAACAGCCAGTGAGTGGGTTTGAACCACTAATCCTTTGCTTAGCAGCCCAGAGCTTAATCCATTATGATACCTTTGATTTCTGGAAATTTAGCTTCATGAACCAGAACATCCTTCACTCATAAATAGGTCAAGGAATGCATCACAAAACTTGCTCACTACAACTGGTTCATTCTCTCTTGTTTTTAGTCACTCTATTATTTAATCAACGACAAATACAATTTGTGAAATTTAAAGTTCAGTTATGAATACTGCTGATTTCTAGTTTAGTTCCTCTTCTATACTTCTTCAATAAGAATGCATGATTTTGGTTTGTTCTCCAGCATCCACTCCCCACCCAAAAAAAGAATGCATAACCTTACAGAGGATTTCCTAGCAGAATATAGAATAAAATGTTTTGATTAAAAAAAAATATTCACTATCAAAATTCTCAGATACCAACTCACGGATGGGGGCAATCATATTGCTTCAAATAAACTTTGTTCAAAACGTGAAGACAAAGTAGTAGTTTTACAACTAACATTCAATGATGACTATTTAAAAGCTAGAAAGGGAAAATACAGTTGACTTATCAAATACAGTCTAATGAACTTCATGGTGGTTTAGAGTAAATGCAATACTTACATCAATCGTTGAGTCTCTTCTGACTCGGATGTGTTTTGTAACATTAAACATTCCAAGAAGCCCATTGCTGACAATATTCATAAGCAGAGGAAAGCAGTGAAGTCTTTTGATGTTGCACACAACGGAAAATCTATAATCCTTATAGCAAAGGAAACAAAAAACCCACACACTATGAATTCTGAATCATGACCATAAAAACAAAGTCAAGGTGTTGACATACGATATCTACACATTCTATCTGCCCTTCATGTTACCTGACCTCTCTGAGCTCTAATTTTCTCCTCTGATAAAGGAGATGATAAAGGGGTTGGAATGTGATTTTAATGATTTGGCGTATATCAGGCCTTCCCACAAGGTTCGCATCATGCAATATTAAGTTTTTCAGCTCCCAGACTTGGAGAGTAGTTCAGGACCAAAGACACTGTCACTTTCTCATAAGCGAGGAAAAGAACACCAAGCTTTTGAAAAGCAAATGAGATCTTAAGATGCTCATGGAAACTCGCCGAAGAAAGCATTTCACTTTGTACTGTATTTATGCACCTGTTGTCTGTGGATATTCATGGATTCATTGATATGATTCACAGTGGTTAAATATCATCAATGGTTGATGCCGTCCAAATTAGATAAGCAACAAAAAGACAGTCAAACCTTTGCCAAGAGGTTACGTTTTATTTTGGTTGAACTTTTTTATTGGTTCAATCAAAAGAGAATGTGGGCATCTTAGAGTTTTCATTAGATGGGGCCACAAGCTGATGGAATTGATGGCCTTTGAAATAATACAATAAAACAGGGCTCTCTAGACAATGAACGCATTTCAAGCAAGCAATTGCAAAGCAAAACGGAATGTGTGCTCCTCATGCAGCAAATTAAACTATTGAACATTTTTGTAATATATTCCGATATTATTGTTCTCACTCTCATTCTCTCCGGAAAAAAGTTTAATTCATTTTCATAAGCTAGCCACTAAAATGGCCTTTCTTTGATTTGTTGATCAGGTCGGAGGAATGGATGTTTTGAATTCTCCATGTCTTACTGCCACAGGGCATAGATATACCTAGAAAGTGTAATGTTCAATCATTGAACTATATGATGCAGTTAGGAAATGGCTTTTCATTTTAATCTGTAGGACCACAGGATCGGTACTTTGTGTTTATGGGTCTTAAAATGTAAAGGCTTATTAACAAGCTAAAAACGAACCAACTAACCTCCTTTTTGCCAGATGCACATAATGTCTAGACTAAATGATTTTGAAGGAAGTCTGTGTCATCTACAGCATAAATTCTATACTATAAATTTTACGTTTTTTTACATTACACATAATTTAGAACTCAGTTCCATTATACTGCTTTAATGGCTTCAACTTTTTTCTTTGTTTATTTGTTGGTTTGGGTTTGCTTTTTGTTTGTTTGTTTTTATTTCCCTTGAATGGAGGGAAAAAAAGAAGCTTTACTTAATGTAGTCCCTAACATTTTTGCTGGAACATGAAAACAACTCAGGAGTTCTACTTAAGTTATGGTTGGTAAGTGCCTTCGAGGAGACTCCTAATCAGAATGGCCCTTGAGCCCATGATCAACACCTCTCCCCATCCCACCCCTTCCTCCGTGCTCAAGTCCACTTCATCAATCACTGCATCAATCCATCTCTATGCACGTCCACCTCTTTTTGCTGACCTTCCTTGTTCCCAAGCATGAGTTTTCGACTTCTGATTGGGTGCATTTTCTCAATAGTCTTTATGGTGATTTTATGTACTAGTTTACCTGAATAGAAGTATGTGTGATCATAGACACAGATCATTTTTCTATGAGAGATTTCTTGTGGCTATTGCAAAACTGCTTAACGTACTTCCTCAATATACAAATGCATTGGAAAGTTAAGCATTTCATAGGTTTTCTTAAATTTGTATTTGGTTAATAATCGTACACTCTAAATTTTCTGTTACTTGATTGTTGTTGTTTGTTATTCTGAGTTCTGGTGGCCTAGTAGTAAGAAACTGAACTACAATGTCAAAGGTACCTTGCTCAAATCCACCAGCTGTTCTGCAGGAGAAGAATGGGCAATCTCCTCCTGTGCAGTTAACTGCCTCAGGAAACCCACAAGAAGGTCAGCTTCTTTAAACTGTACAAAATAATCTAATGCAAAGAAAGTTAAGGTACAAAACGGTTTACAATAAAATTGTTTAACTTTTACAGTTTATTTAATAATGAGCCTGGCGGTTCTCCCGAGTCCAGCTGCTGTATCCTGCATGAGTCAATTTGCTAGTTTTTTAAAGTAGTCGTTATTGTTGTTTGCCATCAAGTCAAAACCAACCCATAGCTGACCCTCCAGCAGGTTTTCAGAGGCAGTAAATGGCATGGGAGGGGACTGTCCATCTGTCTCCCAAGAAGCACCTGGTGGATTCAAACCAAATGTCTCTGGGATTTCTGAACAGAGCTCCCTGACTATGGGTGGTGGTGGTTGTTGTTGTTGTTGTATACTCTTGAGTCAGAACCGACCCATAGTGACCCTCCAGTGGATTTTCAGAGACAGTCACAGCACGGGAGGAAATTATTCATCCTTCTCGCACAAAACAGTGGGTGGATTCAAACTGTGTGCCTTCAGGATTGTAGCACAGCTTCATTCCATTAGGCCTCCAGAGTTAGCACTATGCTTATTATACCCTGTGGCTAGTCACACTGATAATTCTGTGCTTCTCTTCAGAAGAACAGCAGGAAGAGAGCACAACTGTCAGTTTTTCCCATGTTAAACCAAAATTAGCAGTTATATTCTAAAACTAATTGCCTCTCTCAGACTTATAGTAGAATTATCAAGCCGAGACATTGAAGGGTCTCCTTCAGCTGCAACTCCTCTTCCATACCAGGAGGATAAAACATGTACTAAAACTTCCCAAGGGCCTCCTTTGGAGGAAATTCCAATTTCTCCTATAATTCAAAGCCTGTAGCCTGCTGAATGCCCTTCCAAGAGGTGAAGGCCTAATAGAGACACCGTGCATGCCCATGTATGGTGATTTAAAGAGTTGTAAAAATAGCTAGAGGGTACTATATCCTTGATTTTGTTGTTGTATTCATAGAAGAGAAAAACAGAGACAAACATACCTTCTGTTTGCCAGAGACAATGATAGCTCCATTGTAGGAGACGTCTTCAGTGCCATTTCTGTTTTCAAAATCATCGACTTCGAGCACTATATTTTGATGTTTCAAGGAATGTATGAAATCCTCAATATCTGATCCTAGAATGAAATCAATAAGAGAAGGTCAAAGAAAATCAAGAAAATATTGGCCAATTAAAAAATAAAATTCCCATACATCTTCAAAGCAGCCTATCACATTAGAGGTGTCACTGGGCCTAATAATGGCAATTTTGGCTCATGACAAAGAAGTTCTCCTCAATTATTTCAAAATACAGTTGCTGAACAGAGATGGAAGTTTCTTCCTCTCTCACGTGGTGGTATCTATGGGTAGGCAGGTGACTGCTTTCGAGCATTGGATGAGGACCCTGGCCCCTTCCCCCTTCCAGTCTCACCACCCTCAGTCAGAGCTAACTGCATGCACTGCTTTGCAGAAGTTGATATTTTTCTTTTTTCTCTTTTAAAAAATTTTTCTACTAGTTTATTTAGAAAATTAGGATATAAATTTGAACAAATTCTTTCCATTTCCCTCACCCCCACCCATCAAATTGTACAACCCAATGATGGATTCCCCACTTCCCCCTGTACATCCACATCCCTCTGCTTCCAGCCTTTCCCCCACCCCCACCCTGATCCTTATACTCATTCTACAACAACGGTTTTATACAATATTTATCCTTGTGGGACTGAGTTAGTTCACTCAGCATAATGCTCTCCAGTCCCTCCCAAGGTAGGTAATAATTTACAAAGTCATTGCTCCTGCGTGCTGCACAGTATTCATTGTGCGAATGTAACATAAGATATTCGAATGGCAAACAGACACATGAAGAAATACTTCAAATCACTGGCAATAAGAGAGATGCAAACCAAAACCACAATGAGGTACCATCTCACTCCAGTAAGAGTGGCAAAGTTTAACAGGGCAACACGTAATAGATGCTGAAGAGGATGTGGTGAGGAAGGAACTCTTATCATTGTTGGTGAGATTGTAAAATGATGCAATCATTCTGGAAGGCAGTCTGGTGCTTCCTCAAAAAGTTGAATATAGAAATGTCGTAAGAATTCCACTACTTTGAATATACCCTGAGAATATTAGAACTGAGGCACAAACTGAGATTTGTACACCAATGTTCATAGCAGCATTACTCACCATCACAAGAACATGGAAACAGCCCAAATGTCCAACCACAAACGAATGGATTGAGAAATTATGGTACATTCACACAATGGAATACTATGCAGAAGTTGATTTTATAAAGCTCGTCTGTATAGTCTTATTTTATGATTGGTTTCATTCTCTCCGCAAGCATGAGCTGTTTAACAGTCAAACTAAAAAATGACGCCTTAGACGTATTGCTGTTGGGTCAAAAGGGACTAAGAATTACAGACCCTCCCACGGACTTCCAAGGCTGTAAACCAAATGGACGGAGAAGACTTGTCTATCTCCTTGTGGAGGATTCGAAAGACCAGAGCTGGGGCCTTTGAGTCAACAGTGCAACACGCTATGGACTACACCAAGTTCTGAATTTCTGTTTTCTTTTTCAGTTTACCTGTGTTATTGATGATTAATAGGCTGGTATGAGGCTCCTTGGGGAGTTGTCCAGGAGAGAGGAAATACAGCTCGGGTTTAAATTCCAACTCACTTTTTCTATTTACAATGGCATTAAGCAGATCTTCCATCAACAAAGGGAATAATGCAATCGCAAACACCAGAAGTCTAACAAGAAAGAAACATTACTGACTGGAGCATTTTAATGCATTCAGAGTCGATCCACAAATACATTAATTCATGCCAATGTCATTCTACAGTAGCCATATTTCTAGGAGTTCAATGTTTGAAAGTCAGACATTAGCGTGCTATAGTATGTTTATATACTCAGTCACGATAGGTCAGCCAATTACAAACATTAAACACACATGGCTACAGACCTGTCGTGTGCTAGTATTACAGGAGGTCTCACTATCTGTGTACTCAGGGCTTGAACTGATTCATCCCAATCACACGCTTTGCTGGAAATATCCATTTCCTCCACAAATAAACAGAATAAAAAAAAATCTACATACTGAGTCAAAATCTAGATTTTAATAGCATCTATTCACAAAAATCACCTGTGAAGTCTTGTCAACATGTATGTTCTGATTCAGTAGCTCTATCATCGCCATTGAGGTAGATGACCCACTGCTGGTTTTCCAAGGCTGTAAATCATCCCGGAGGAAATTAGGCCTCTTTCTTCTAAGAAGCTGCTGGTGGATTTGAACCCCCAAAGAGGCTTGGACTTTGGGTTAGCAATGCAAGTCCCTGTGGAGTAGGTCACCAGACACCCTTCTGATTCAGTATTGTTAGGTGCTGGCGAGTTGGGTACAACTCATAGCAACCCTCTGAAAAACAGACCTGAACCCTGTCCTATCCTGTGCCACCCTCATAATTTCTTGACCCCAAACCTGCAATCACTTAGTAAGGGGATATCATGATTGGACAGGTGGACAGTCAGTGAAGGAAAGGAAGACTCAGATTCAGTACAGTTTTGTGGAAATGCCAGCTCTCAGTGAGGTAAAGAGCTTTGAGCAAAAGCAAATGCTGCTTTTATCCTCTGGTGGGACTGCTGGGCCTCCTGCTCTTGCTTTGACTGTTCTTCCTAGAGCCTCTTTTGAAAATCATTATTTCATGAAGTGTAAGTCCTCCCGTACTCACAGGGTCAACAGTTCTCTCTTTCCATGTTTCAGCTTTAAGAGTCGGAGCCGGGCTATCGTCCAGACCTGTTGTCTCCAAAGAGCCAGGCCACTCACAGCCTTGTGCATTTCAGGGAGTGAAGGGCAAGGCGTGTCCACTTCCTCCAACCTTCCCGAGTCTCTTTGCACATCTTCTGGCTCAACCTCTAAACACACAGTCACACATAATTAATGCAATCTTGAAGTGTCACATTTTCTATTTTGGATATTAGAAAGAACAACTTTTTTAAAAAAAAAATGTAGGTGGTTCCAACCCAAACACAGTAAGAAGCAAATGTTTAGGATATCTTTATTTAATAAAATTAGTGACAAATATCCTAGATTCATACCATATCAAGAATTTAGTAATGAGGTATCAGTGCACCCAATCTTTGGAAGAAAAAGCAGGACCCAGGTGTCCTCTTCTTTTGAGGTGATTTTAGGCATCAATTTTTCTTTTCCTAATTGGCTTGCATATGATAATTAGTTCACATTGTATTTCATTCCTGGACAAAACCCAGTGTCCTCTTTTTTTTTTTTTAGGCAATTTTAGGCATCTGTTTTTCTTTTTTTAATTGGCTTGCATATAATAATTAGTTAACATTGTGTTTCGTTCCTGCACGTGGTGTTTTATACAATCTTTGACCTGCATTTCTCCATCTTTTTGAGTCCCCACTGAATGTTTCCTATTCCTTCACACCCCTCATCACAGTATTAAGGATCTTGAGACATTCTCTCCGTAGAAATAGTCTATCACAAATGCCTTAGCATCTACTATTAAAGTGTCAATTGTTTAGCTGCGTAGATGAAAGACCTTCACTGGCACCAGGAGTCCTGTGCCTGAGTCCCATATGTGAAACTTGTTCTTGCTGAGAACCACTGAGTCAGAGAAGACCCATAGCTGACCCTGCTACAAGTGGACAGAGGTATTTACTCGCACAAGAGGATACTGCTTCTCCTTCTCTTGCCAAGCAGCTGGTGGATTCGAACCGCATGCCTTCGGGATTGAAGCTCAGCTTCTTACCACTAGGCTACCAGAACTCCCTATCCAACTTCCTAGTATTTTACTTGGGGCAAACAATTTCGTCAGTTTTACATCAAATTCTCTTGCTTATAAAGTGGTACAACAACACTTGTCAAGAAGTTTACTGTAGGAAGGGGAGGCAATATATCCACACATTGATCGTACTAGACAATTAGGCTGTTGTTGTTGTTGTTGTTAAGTGCCGTCAAGTCGCAGGCGACTCATAGCGACTTATGAAGGAGAGTCCTTGACGCTTGGGTGCCTTTCATCCTCTCTCCAGGTTCATAGGGTTTCCGGAGGCAAGCTATTATGGAAGTGGATGCCACTCCTCCTTCCACACTTGTTTAATCGGGGAGCTCCACCCCACTCTCAGTCCGCATTGTAGCCAACCATTAATGCATTTGACATATCCAATTAGACAATTAGGCAGCTTCTTAAAAAAAAAATGTGTGTGTGTGTGTAGCGTCAAATTGGATCTGACTGGTTCAGGAGGAAATTACCCCTCCTTCTCCAGCAGAGTATGTGGTAGATTTGAACCACGTATCCCTCTGGGATTGTAGTGCAGCTTCTTATCACTAGGCCACCAGAGCTCTCTTATTAGGCAGCTTTAATTGACTATTCGTATGGTGAGGATTTCTTGAAATCTCTCAGAATATTGTTTTATGTAAGACCTCCATAGACTGAGTATGATGATATCACTCTTTAGTAAATTTTTATTTTGGTGTGGATTCGGCATATTTATCACTTAGTTGGAACTGACTCATAGTTGACCCTCCACTGGGTTTTCAGAGGCTGTAAATAGTAAATTGCAAAGGAGATTAACTGTCTATCTTCTTCCGTGGAGCAGCTGGTGGGTTGGCAGTATGACTATCGACTAGGCCAACCAAAGCTTCCTACGTTTATTGAGATCATTGTCAAAAGTTTATTGAATAAGAACGCCACAGATGGGAACTTCCATTATTATCACCATTAAAATACATAGGAGAATTCCAAGTCTTATTTTCATTAAGGCCATAATGGAATCTGGAATACTGACAAGATACAAAAAAATGTTTCTAAGAAGTGTTTATTCATTATCCGGACTAAGGTCTTTCTCACAACCTCCAAGCACTCTATGAGCAGTCTTCAGATGAGGGATATGAGAAAACTGTTGAAGCTGGAAGCAGATGGTTTCAAAGGAGAAAATCAGTGTATTGACAGAAGCAATCTGTGTTGATACTAGCCATGATATTTTGGAAACATCTCTAGCCTTTTCCAAAAGCACAGCCCCATTGAGAACTCTTCCTACTCCTTTGTCAAAGTCACACATGAGAAAAGATAAGTACTAAACTGACATGTGATCATCTGGGGATTGATTTTCCAGTCGAGCATGCAAACGATTTTACCTTGGTTGATGCTTGATTTTCCTTCTACTTTCATCAAGACTTCATCGAGAGCTGACATAGAAACGTCATAATTCACCACCTCTTGACCAAAACACATCTCAAGATCTTTGAAAAGGTCTAAAAGCAACAGACGATAAAGATATAGATTTAGAGAAAAATTTATGTAGATGACTTAATATTGTAGTGTTGTGTGCCATCAGGTCGCCTGAGAATCACAGCAACCCTATGTACACGACTTCTGAAAGCTGCCCTATCCTGAGCCAATCTCATCGTCTCCAACAGACGTAACCCCATTGCTCCCGTCACTGAGTCAATCCATCTCATCCTGGGTTTTCCTCTCCTGCACTTTTCCTCCACCTTTCCAAGCATGGTGTTCCTCTCCAAGGACTGGTCCCTCCTGGCCACATGCCCAGAGTATGTGACAGAGAGACTCGAAATCCTTGCCTCCAGGGAGCAAACTGGTTTTGCCTTCTCTAGGACAGACCTGTTTGTTCTCCTGGCAGTCCACCGTATGTTCAACACTCTTCTCCAGCACCACAGCTCAAAGGCATTGATCCTTCTTCCATCATCCTTTTGTCATAGTAAGATGACTTACTAGGCTAGCATATAGATAAAAAAATACATAGATAGCTAAACCTAGTAAGCGAACACTCTTTGAAAGGCTGATGTGATGCAAATAAAATTTAGAAAAATATATATTCAGAATATTTTACCAGTCAAATGCAGCATGCTATTAGGATTCTCTTACTCTCTAACATCACTATTTCCAAGCTCTTTTTTGTCTAATCAAGTTTTCTGCATGTTGTGTTTACTCATGAATCTCCGTGCCATTGTTTAAGGAAAAACGAGTAATCAGAAAAGCATTCTCGTCTCCGTACCACACCACAAATCAGTGCGTCTCTTGCCATATTCTGGGTCTGCCTTCCTGTATTGGTAGGAAACTTGGGGCTGATGCTGTCGGAACTAAGTCTTTCCTTTGATCTGAACTCACATCTTCTACCATTTCAAGGACTGCCCCAGCACAATCCTCTAGATTTCCCAAAAGATGTGTGTGTCTATGTGTGTGCACTTTTTGTCACTCAGTGGGCTGTAGGCTCCACTGGGGTTAGAACACATGCTATGGTTGTTGCTTTTCGGTGCTGTTGACTTGACTACAACTCATAGCAACCCAATGGACAGCAAACCCAAACTCTGTCCCATTCTGCGTCGTCCTCATCATCTCTGACCTTCTTGACCCCACTGCTGCAGGCACTGTGACAAAGCCATCCGGCTGGGGATCTTCCTGGCTTTTGCTAACCTCCCGTTTTTCCAAGCATGTTGTCCCTTTCAAAGGAATAGCCTCACTTAGCAGCATGCCCAAAGTGAGAGAGACAAAGCTTTGCGATCTTTGCCTCCAAGGTGGCAATCGGCCTACACTTCCTCCAAGACAGACCCGCTTGTTCTTTGGGCAGCCCGTGGGATATTCAGGGCTCTTCTCCAGCACCACAACTCAAAGGCATCACTTCTTCTTCCATTATCCTTACTCATTTTCCAGCTCTCTGATGTATAGCAAGTGATTGAGAAGACCATAGCCCGAATCAGGCACATGTTAGTCTTCAAATGCATATACATTTTACTCAATATTGCAGCCCCATTGTTGGTGCCAACAAGTGGATTCTGACTCCTAAAGACTCCACGTGATACAGTTTAGAACAGATTCATAGATGTTCATTAGCTAGAATCTTTGTAAAAGTAGATCGCAAAGCCTTTTTGCTGTAGCAGCCCTTGGATGGGTTTGAACTGCCAATCTGCAGGTTAGCAGCTGAGTCCAGACCATTTGTACCATGTACGAATCCTTCCGTATCTCTAAGCCAAAGAACCAGACTACTTGCCGTGGACTTAGTTCTGACTCCATCAGATTTTCAACACTGTAAATCTTTACAGGAGAAGACTGCCCATCTTTCTCCTGCAGAGCCAGTGATGAATTCAAACCACTCAGCGTTGTGTTAGCCCAACATACAGCACAGTGACACCAATAAACGTGTTACAGCTCTCTTTGATGTGAATATTGTTATCAGCGTACAAGCTTACAGAAGCCTTATACACACAATCTACACCAGGTGGCGTAACACACTAGTATTATTGCCGAGAGGAAGAAGCGACTTTGTTGGATCTGGGTCTGCACTTGATAGCTCTCTTACATTCTGCCTGATAGGGGACCCAGGGGCTAAGTATGGGGTGGAACTTTCAGAGGCTGCCATGAGTGGAGCTATCCAGACTAGGAATCTAACTAAGTGACCTATCTTGTTCATACCAGCATGTTGTTATGTGCTGCTGACTTGCCTGCGACTCATAGCAACCCTATCTATGAGCATATGACTCCCTAAAGTCCCTTGCTGACCTCATAAGAAGGTGGATCAGTTATACCTCACTAAGCTTGAGTCTATGGAATCAAACGACCTAGTTAACCTGTGTAGACAAGCTTAAGTCTGAAATCCAGAGCATTTGCCCAAAGAGACGGAATGGTACAAAAGAGCCTGAGTAAATTAGGATCTTAAACTTTGATTATCTAAATGTGTAAACAAGAAGAGAATGCAATCCATTCCCTTTTTATATGATTGTTGCTGTTGTGTGCTCATAGCTGACCCTTCAGTGAGCTTTCAGAGGTCCTAAATTGCAAGGGATTTGATTGTCCATCTTTCTCCTGAGGACCAGCTGGTGGAGTCGAACCATGTGACTCTGGGTAGACAGGGCAGTTCCTTACCACTAGGCCACCAGACCTCCCTTTTATATGAAACGAAAATAACAGTACTCATATCACAGGGTAGTTGTGAGAATTGAGTAAGTTGGTTGATTTGACTTCAATAGAACAGTGCCAGACACCTAGTAAGCGTTGTACAGAGGATTAATAATTACTAGATTTCCTTGACTACATGTTGTGAGGAGAGACTGGTCCTTAGAGAGGGACATCATGCTTGGGAGGGTGGAGGGACAGCGCAGGAGAGGAAGGCCGTCTATGAGGTGGATTGATTCAGTGACTGGGATAATTGGGATGGGAGTGTCAGAGGCAGTGAGATTGGCACAGGACAGAGCGGAGTTTAGGGTTGTTGTACATAGGGTCGCTATGAGTCGCAAGCGACTGGATGGCATATAACAACAACATAGGAGAAAGATGGGCAATCTCCTCCAGTGCAGTAAACTACCTCTGGAAACCTGCTGGAGGGTCAGTCATGGGTTGATTCCAACTCAAAGGCACACAGTAACAGCCATAGACTTACTTATCAAGCAGGCGGTACAGTGGTTGGGATCTAGCCAGAAGTCTGCTGTTTGAAACCACCAGCCTGTCCAGACAGAGGAAGAAGATGCTGCAGTCTGCTCTCATAAGGATCTCAGTCTTGAAAATCCTACAGGGCAGTTCTACCTTGTCCTACAAGGTTGCTATGAGTCAGAAGTGGCTTGGTAGCATAGAATGATAAGGTTTACTTATATATCAAAACTTCACCTGATACCACTGCTCCCCAACAGACTGACAATCTGTGTTAAATAAACACTTTTTTGGAATGAAAAAAAAATGTATTTGTGTCACTCTGGAGACTAAGGTGTGTCTGATACAGGCTATGGTCTTTGCAATCACTTGCAGAGAGCTGGAGAATGACTAGGAATGATAGAAGGAGAATTGATGCCTTTGAGCTGTGGTTCTGGAGAAAGATTGCTAAGAAAACGAACAGGTTCATTCTAGGGAGGGTGAAACCAGGCTGCTCCTTGGAGGCAAGGATTCCGAAGCTTTGTCTGACATACTCTGGACATGTTGCAAGGAGGGACTGGTCCGTGGAGAGGGACGTCATGCTTGGGAGGGTGAAGGGACAGCTCAAGAGAGGAAGACCCTCTATGAGGTGGATTGATTCAGTGACTGGTGTAATGAGGGTAGGTGTGTCGGAGACAGTGAGGCTGGCACAGGACAGAGCAGAGTTTAGGGCTGTTGTACACAAGGTCGCTATGAGTTGCAGCAGGCTTGATAGCACATAACAACAACAGCAACAACAACCTACAGTTTAATGAAAATACAACAAGATACAGATCTGAAGACACAGAGAAGTGCCCAGGAGTTAGAGGCCATTACATATACACCTTTGCATTAGCAGTAATGACAAGCATTGATCTCAAAGTGCAGAGGTAGGGGGACAGACAAGATAAACCGATGCTGGCAAGGGAAAAGGCCCACATCCATCGTCATGTATATATCTGGCAGATGATTAAAAAATGTTTCTTGAAATAGATAACTAGTAAAACTTGTATGAGGATATGAAACGTGAAGATGGGTGGGGAAGCATAACCACAGGGTCACAAAATTCGATGGATGGAGAGCGGGGTTGGTTAGGGAAATGGGAAAGAGCCAGTGTGAAAAACAATGTATATGGAATTTGTAAGTAAACCAGCATAAAATGAAAAGTTTTTAAAAAAAGTTTCTTGAATAAATACAATAAGCCTGATGCTAATACAATTGAAGCCTTGTTATGTATCTCCAACCATTCACCTACGTCCAATGCATTTTTTTTTTATTAAGAACACAGGCCTGAGGCCTTTCTTTAGTCCTGAGACACGTATGCTGAGCCAGAAAGAGAAGGAAGAGTCAAAGTGTGTGTTTCTGGAAGGATTCTCCAGTCAGCAATGATTACAGAAAGCCCTCTCCCCCGCCCGCAGTTTCCTCACTGGAGTGACATCACTCTAAATCTCCTTTTTATTTATTTCTTTCCCCAGTGACTAACCCTCAGCTGTTCCCCACAGTAACCTGCTCTGTAGTGTACCCTTCCCTGGCTTCTTCCTTCTCTTTTCTGGTTTACGTCTCTACCTCTTCTGCAGACGCTTTCAGTCATCAGCTTCCAACACAGCCATCTATGGCCCTCAAATCTTCAGCACAACTTCTGCTTCTTGGGGAACCCAACACACAAAAGTCAAATCCATCTACTGATAAGCAATGACTATGACCTTCAAAATGGATTGCATCTCAATGTCAAGAAAACAAATATCCTGGCCACTGGACCAATAGGCAACATCACGATAAATAAAGATGGAAACGGTTAACAATTTCATCTGACTTGGATCCACAATCAACCTCCTTGGTACCGGAAGTCAGGATATCAGGAGACGTACTGGGCTTGGAAAGTCTATAGTCCTCTATAGAGACCTCTCCAAAATGGAGCAATAATTCAGTTCAAGAACTCAGGTGTGCCTGATTCAGGTCTTTTCAGTCACTCGCTATGCATTTGAAAACAAAACAATAACAAAGGATGCCAGAAGAATTGATGCCTTTGATCTGTGGTGTTGGAGAAGACTGCTGACTATTCCATGGACTGCCAAAAGAACTAACAGATACGTCCTGGAGAAGGTGCAGCTAAAGTACTCCCTGGAGGCAAAGACGATGAGATTTTATTTCAAATACTTTGGGGATGTAGCTAAGAGAAGTTATTCTTTGGAGAGTAATAGCATACGTGGGAAGATAGAGAGACAGCAAAGGAGAGAAAGACCCTTAACCAGGTGGATTGGCAGTGACTGCAGCAACGGGCTTGAGAGTGTCAGAGATGGTGAAGATGTCACAGGATAGAATCTGTTGTTCATAGGGTCACTGTGAGTCACAGTCAACAAACAGTATCTAACATCAACAATGTAAATATTGGTCCCAAAAATTCCATTCCAAAGGGAGCTCCCGTGGCCTAGTGGCAAGACGCTGCACCGCAATCCCAGAGGTATGCGGTTCAAATCCACCAGATGCTCTGCTGGAGAAGGAGGGGGCAATCTCCTCCTGTACCAGTCAAATCTGATTTGACAGTACACATAAAAATAATACAATTTTTTTAAAAAAAAATCCATTCCACTGTAGTAAAATTCAGTTACCTGGAAACACATCTGTCCTTTTCAAAGGCAGTGCATACACCAGCTTCTCTTTCCTTTCCATTCTTAACTTAGCATCTGGGATGTGATGATTAACCAAGGATGTTATTTTTTCTGGGTCACATGCTTCATTTTTGTACAAACTAATATTTAAAAGAGAAGGTAAGTCATTTTCTCCATTGTTATCATGGTTGATATTTTATTGCATATCTGTTTTTTGAAGATTTTACTTGGCCTTACAGAACAAAAAATAAATTTGTTAATAATAACAATAATGTCATTGATCTAAGGAATATTATGACTATATGTGGATGAGGGATAAACTCAGAACAATTAAAAATATACAGACAGATGTATAATCTCAATTAAAGATCAAGTATAAAGGTGACCAGAAAGACTGGAAAAGGCATTTGGGAAGGAATGATTAACCCTGGATGGCAGAGATTAAGAATAAGGTCCTTTTTTTTTAATGCATTACAAAAATTGTTCTTTTTTTTGGATATATCATAACTAAAAACATACATATCCAGTCTGCCCCCAGAACCTGTACCTTAGGTGATATCCAAGACCCCATTTTTTCTTCAGAAAGAAAGAAGAGCCTGCACATCTCAGTCTCCCATTGGACATGATCACTTTCCTGTCTGAATTTGAGATAAGCAAACGAGAGAGAATATTAGGGCCCAATTCTCAGCTCTGAGAAAACACAGGTGAGGGGGCCAACCTCACAAATCCAGAATGTTCTTTGGGATGTCACTATATCTAGCGTGCATATTAGAAGTCTAAAACACACATTAAAATTGACGCTTTCATATGAGATCATGGATTCTGGTCTATTCCTGTGTCCTCCCATGTTTGTTTAAGAAAACACACATTTATTTCACAGCTATATTCTCTATTTTAGATGCTAGAGAATAAATGGCTGTCTTCTCAGCCATTACATTTAGATATGTTGTTGGTGTGTTGTTAAGTGATGTTGAATCGCCTGCAACTCGTAATAACCCTCTGTGCAACAGTTCTGAAGCCTGACCTTGTCCTCAGCCAATCTCGCTGATTCTGACACACCTGCCCCCATTGCCCCAGTTACTGTGTCCATCCATCTCATCCAGGGTCTTTCTTTCCTGTGCTGTCCCTCCACCATGATGCCCTTCTCAAGGATTGGGCCCTCCTGGCCATGTGCTCCAAGATGGAGCTTCAAAATCCTAGCCTCCAAGGAGAAACTTGGTTTCACCCTCTCCAAGACAGACCTATTTGTTTTCTTGGCAGTCTATGGAATGTTCAAGACTCTTCTTAAAGAAATTTAGATAGATAGATACATTAAATATATATATTATATATATAGTATATATATATATATATATATATATATATATATATAGTATATATATAAATCATTCTATATTAAAGAATATTTAAAGTCTTCAATAGTTGACTTGAAAATAAATTCCAATTCCTTATTAGAGTTTACAATAAGGCAAGCGTAGAGCTAGTGAGTGATTCTAGTGGGACCAGACCCCTGATGTCCTTCAGCCCTGCTGTGGAAACACTGCTTTGAACTCTTCCCAAATACTGAAATGTAGTCGTCAGCAGTCACCAGCCAGGATGTCAGCCTCATCGGGGAAATTGGTGCTCAGGAGGATCACGTGATCTGACTTCCGCTCTTTCAGGAAGTTCCACACTTGGTACCTTGAAAAAGGATCTAACCCAGCAGTTGGTTCATCTAATAGCAAAACCTGTGCAAGATGAAGATATGCAAGATATGTTTCTCCTACTTGGAAACTTTGTTCACATGACAGTTTGGAAGGTGATAATAGCCAACAAGAATAATGCATATCCAACCACTTATCTTCAATATATTTAGGTATTCAAAGTTAAGCATGTAGGTTTCTCTTTACTCCTAGTAAATCAACTCATCACATTTGTTAAAAAACAAAACCAAAACCAATTCTAAACCTTGAAATCCACACAAGCTCATTCTAACACAATTAGTCTATATGAAAGTGCATTCTATCATAGAAATTTAAAAATTGATGTTGCTCATTTTTTGCATTATGTCATGTATTTTATTTTTGTTGTTTTCCTTTTCAAATTTTAGTGAAAATTTAGAAATGATAATTATTTTTCATTCCAATATTCATAGTTATTTTGTTTTATAAGTGAATTATAATCGATTAATATAACTAATTACAATATCCAACCACCTTTTTTTTCTATTACCTCCCTTATCCAATTTATCTATTTATTAACTTTTACTTCTTTCTCCTCCAAGATTGGTTCCCTTGGTGTGTAAACCTTTCCTTAGCTATTTTGCTTACCATTTGTTAGGACACAAAATAATAGCTTTCCAAGAAAACCCCTAATATTTTCAGGGTAAAGGAAGACTTTCCTCTGACATTCAGTCTGCATTCCACCTTACTCCTCACCTCACTCACCTGAGGGTCTCCTAAAATGGCAATCCCAAAGGTCAGCTTTCTTTTCTGCCCTCCACTTAAATTTTTCGCAAGGTTATCCTGAATGCTTTGCAAATCCAATTCTGATACAATCCTTTGTACCTACAAACAAACAAACAGCCAAGAGAGAGAGATGTAAAGCTTGAAAATAATCCTGATACTTACTATGTCATTTTATCTCCCCATCAAAATAGTAACTAGTTCGCTTTGGAGGTCCTTGCTTAAATGTAATTTTTCTTTAATTTTTTTATTTTATTTTAATAATTTTAATGAACATTTACAGAGAATTTGGATTTCCATTCATTCATTGCTGCA